CACCCCTCAACAGCGGTGGTTGGTATTGGACTAAGACATCACGGAAGTACTTTAAATACCGAGTAAGATGGATGTGCGCTTAGACAGTGTTTAGGTACTACTCGTCCTCCTCCTCCTCCTCCTACTGCTGCTACTACTACTACTACTACTACTGCTACTACTGCGACTACTGCTACAACTACTACTACTCCTACTGCTACTGCTACCGCTACTGCCAGGCTACTGCCACTGCCACTGCGACTGCGACTGCTACTGCTACTGCTACTGCTATTGCTATTACTACTGCTAGTGCTAGTACTGCTACTTTTTGCTACTACTGCTACTACTGCGGCTACTGCTGCTGCTGCTGCTGCTGCTGCTGCTGCTGGTGCTACTGGTGCTACTGCTGCTGCTGCTGCTGCTGCTGCTGCTGCTACTGTTACTACAATACGATTATGCGACCAAACCTACGGCTACAAAGACGGCTGGGAGGAGGAGTGGGAAGAGGAGGAGTAAGAGAAGGAGGAGGAGGAGGACGAACACAAGTACTAACCCACCGGCTGCTTGCCGCACGAGCGAAGACGACGGCCGGTATCACAATGTGTTTGTACTGCTAATGATCAGGCCCCGCTGGAACTTTTCGTGGCCAATGCGGGCACCGCTGCACGCTTCCTCTCAGCCCCTTTGGCTGGAGTTGGCTTTGCTGTGGACTCGAAGTGCAGGTTTTTAGGTTCCAACCCCGCATCTATTTCTGTGGCCGTCGAAATCTTCTTTCTAGTTTCAAGTGTTACGCGGAAAAGCTTCCCAATTAGGAATCCTGCGCCCTAAATCGTAGATCCGTCGCGTCAAGGCGCAGCTACACTCAAAAGTTTGGGGGTTGTGAGCCTATACGCTTTAGTTTCTTGTCACGGGTTTAGGGACGCTAAGTCAGGCGATGGTTTGCCTGGGCAACGGCGTTTACCGCCTCAGCGGTGTACCGCGCATGCACGAGCGGCCACAGAAGGACTTGAGCAAATGGGGCCATGTCAGCCATGTCTTTCGGGCTTGGGGCTCATCGAGTTGAGTGAGTGTAGGGTTGAATGAGCTTAGTGTTTGGGGGCTCAGTGTGCCAGCATCATGGAGGCCAGAGGCAGCAAAGTGTTTAGGGTCTATAGGGCTCGGTGAGTTTATTTTTTTTGGGTACAACGAGCGTCAATCCCATGATCAGACTCCAGGCCCCTTTAAACCCTAAAGCCCTAAACGTGTACTTGTTGTATGGGGCTTGTTTGCTGACGGGAGCCAGGTAACCACGGAGAGTGTAATTGTAAAACCTGTTACACGATGCCAACCACCTTGGTTGGATGGGTTCTTAGACTTGGTTTATCGTCGGGTTGCAACCACAAAATCTAAACCAAGCTCTGTCTTGTGCTTTTGGAGCTGCTCAGATTCAGGCTTTGGGAGCTGGAATAGTCCTAGTATGCACTAGTAATGGTGAGGGGACTCGTATCAGCAATAAGAAGAGTCGTGAAGTAATGAGGGTCCTCGGCATGTTCAGAGTTCAGGACCTTGAGTCGCAAACCCGAAAGTGCTAAACCCGAAACCCCCCAAGCCCTGACCCCGCAACCCAAAAGCCCAAAACCCTGAAGCCCAAGCTCAAGCTCTCTCCGTGATCTTTCAAATCTTTCAGCGTTCCCTAAACCCTAAACCGTACAGCAAACCCTAAACCCTAAACCCTAAAGCGTTGCCTGCATAGCCAACTCCAGGAGCTGATCCGGGCCTTGCGCTCCCTGGGCTACCGGATTGTGGCCTGGCCAGGGATTTTAGGGAACTGTGGGGATGTTTCAACCCGGAAAGCCGGGAAAGTATGGGACGAACCCGCTCTAAAGCCAAGTCTTTGAGGCCTAAGCCTTTAACAAGGCTACTGTTTTCGGGTGCAAAAAGGTTTTAAGAGGTGTAGGGGCTGAGGAGACTCCAAACGACAAGCTGCCCGCCGTCTTCTACGGCGAGGGCGCGAAGCCGCGGCCCAAGCAAGGGACGGGTTTCCCCCTGCCGAAAACCGTTTATGCGTCTTTGGTCTTCGGGTTGAGCCTTTGCCTTTGAGGCTTGTCGGGTTCTACCTTTGAGAGTGCAATGTTTCGAGTCAGGGTTGAAGTTGCGTAGAGTTTAAAGATCCGACAAGTGATGGTGTATAACCCTAGAAAGTGTTAGAAGCTTCAGGATGTGTGCATGTTACCGTGGTGATCAGAAGGCCCTTCCACCAGTACATGTGCATGCTCTCACACGGAAGCACCTCCAGACCTGAACATGCAGATGTGAGACCAGCAGAGAAAAGCCGACACTCACTGCGCGAAGCATCTAGCCTAGCCCTCGACCCATTCCTTCCCCTCGCCTCCCCGGCACAAGCCAGTGCCGTTGACGCGATTGCATGTTCAAGCGTTCGGCATCGGCCTGAGCTCGGTGCGTGGGATCCTGCAGATCAGATCTGAAAGGTCAAGAAGTTGTTCCACAGCCGGGCCATGCCTGACGAAGCCTATCTCCCCCCAAGCTCTAACGCCCCAGCGATCTCCGGGTTTCGGGCTAAGGGCCGCATAAAACTGGTCTTTTGCTGTGGGGAGATCCGGAAACAGGATTTTGGAAGCTCGGATCACGGCTTGCGGATACCCTCGGATACTGGCCCCAAAGCCCGGGAAGCTGCTGGATTCTGGAGGCCTGGTGCTGTCACGGTCAGCGTGGAGGAGCTTGGGCATACGAGACCCTCACGCATGCCATACCCTAAAGACCCGTCGGAGGTTCAGCGAAGGAGAGGAGGATCGCCTGAAGTCCCTTCTGAGTTGATTCGGCTTGGGGTTCGTGCTTTGAGAACAACAAGTCCGAGAATCATCGCTAATCTACACCACCAAGACCAGTCGGCCATAATCCTAATTAAGCCCTGAACATCATACCACCAGTACTCTGCTCAGATCCACAGTTGGTTGCTTTTCTCTTATAAATACCCATACCACTGACATCAGCAACGGCCACAACCACAACCACTGCTGCGGCGACTTCCTACTGCCCTATTTTTACTGCACTGCAAGCTCCCACTTCACCTTCTACTTCTGGCATCTTAAAGTTTGTCAGGCTGCCTCAGGATGGCACAAGCCCGATGCCAACAAGCACAAAGAGGGCACAGAATGCCTAATCGCGCTCAGATTTTCGGGTTGGAGTTAAGAAACTCACTGCAGTCGTAGTGACCTTGTTTAAACCACCCCATCTGTAAGATTATGAACCTAAAGCCATGTGCCGCAGGACAGCTCGCAGTTTGCCAGTGCTTTGCTGCTCTCCAGCCGGGCGGGGAGTTGGAATGTGTCGACGCCTCCAGACGCGAACCCAGATGAGCTGCTCGGTACTGCGTAAGGCCCCCACACCACCAGAGAAGCAATACTCATACGAACAAGATTTTCATCAATAATAATAACACCAATAACAAGTTACTATTATTAGTACGCGTATCACCAAGCCTACGCTTGTGATTATGGTGGTTATTCTTATACGTAGGCCCGGTCTGTGTCGGCTTTGCAAGACGAGGCTCCCCTACGTGGAGATGACGCGGGAGCTCCTGAAGGCGTTCCCACACGAAGGAGGCGGGACCTGGCCTTCGGTTCATTTGGGGCGTCGGGTGTAGGGACTGTGCAGCTGGAGTGTTCGCTTGGGGATGTTTTGGGGTTGCTTCGTATGTTTAGGGGCTATCTATGTTGGCGGTTTGGGAAATGAGGATCATGCTGTTTGGGGTCCGTGTTAGGGTCTCTTCTTTTCTGAAGCAGCCATTGGGGGATGTCTCAAGGCACCTAAGAACGCGAGGTTCGAAGCAGGGAGCTGAGGAGTTACGATCTGCGTGCTAGGAGCATTTTTGATGGGTCACTTCCACTTCTGGTGCTGCGAGAGAGCTAGAGCGAGAAGTACTATGGCTACTAGCACAACTAATCCTAAGACCCTAATCTGCTTATTATTCAAGTTCGAGCTTTGAAAGTCGGGGGGATCTTTGGGCGTTTCCTCCGGATCCAGGCTGTTTGTTGTGCTCCCAGTGTCTTGACTGGCAGTTCCTTCGGAATCATGTGTCCTTCAATCGTAACAACGACCTCTTAAGTGCCTTTTAAGTCACATAGTGTATACCCCCATGCATGATCAAAAAACATAGTATGTTTATTGACGGGCTTGGGGTGCCGAAAGTGGGAGTATTTCAATGGAGCCAGGCTAGAAGTTGAATATGCTCGGTGCTCGACAGCCAGGCTTATGAGTTGGGCTGTTTTTCACCCTGCCCTGGAGGTAAGTGTTTCGGCAAGCTTTTTCTCTTATTTGGCTTGGAGGAATGGGCCCAAGACAGGAGCGTTCACCCACTGAATCAAGGCCCTTTTGGGTTTTTTTTCGAGGCTCTCAGGGTTTAATAAGGGATCCGTCCGGCCAGGGGAGTTTCAGATTGAAGCCGACGCCTCCAGCGCGAGCTATTTCCACGCAGTGAGGCTTGGCTTTCGAAGCTAGAGCATCAGGCGGTGCCCGTGGAGACGAGTGGACACCAAGATCAAGCAATGACCTGAATGGAACACAGGGTCGCTTATGCGCTTGCCTGAAGCAACGAGAGGGGAGGAGGTGTGTAATCGAAAGTCTTGATGCGAGCCGATGTGTTTTTTCTGTAGATTCTCGCGGGGCGGCGATGAACTCCAGGCATCCTCGCTCGTTAGTCTTTCAGGGTTTGCCATGTTGTCCTTGCCAGCGTGATCGACCCGTCTTGTCGTCTTTCATGCTAAACTAGGGTTTGGGGTTCGGGGTTGAAGGTTCGAGTTTTAGGGCTACGTATCAAAACACAAGGAATGCCATGTTCCCGAAGATTGCGCCCGTCCGTGTTCTGGCCTGCCAGCCGCCTCGCACGGAAGGACCGTGCACTGTTGCTCTTCGCCTTTTGGTTGTTGTGGGCTAGGGTTTTGAGGGTTCAGGGTTTACGAGCGGTTCAGTGTGTCCAGGCGAGACTACGCAAGCCTGCTGCAACAGGGTTTCTTTGTGGACGTTGAGGTTTGGGACTTCAGAGTTCAGGCTTCTCAGATGTGGGGGTCTAGGATTTGGAGGTTTTGGAGCGGGACAGGAAAAGTTCAATCTTGCGGGTGTGGTTTGCGGTTGACTTATGGAGTCACGGAGGAGTAAGGGAACTAGGGCTTATATAAGAACTGTTACATCTGAAGGTTTCCCAACCCAGGTCCCTGCTCTAATTCGCCTCATGAAACACCCTGCTCTGAAATCTGCTGAACCTGAAATCTGCTGAACCTGTCATCTGAGCTCTGGTTTGGGTGGAGGAGGAACTGGCTGGCAGATCGATGCCGAGTTCCCGAGGCAAGTTTTGGGTTCAGCATCCCTGGCTGTAGCATTCCATCCTCATATGGGTAGTTCTCTAAATTAGGGTCTCCTCTTCTGGGTCCCCAATATAGTACGGCGCCCTTATAAAATGGACCTAAAAGGGACCCTAATTTAGAGAACTACCCACATGAAGCTAGAAGCTTCCGCAGCGAGGCTAAAAGTTGGATTCCTCAGAGTCGCATCCAGCCGGAGGCTGGCGCCACGGAATCACAAGATGCGGAGCACAGTGCAGCGGCTGATGTCTTTCCTGACAGGCACGTCCAGGGCTGGGGGTTTGAAAGTGGATATCGACGGCAAGGACGACGGTGCTAAGATGGCGTAGCGACAGCGACCACGGCTGTGGTGCTTGCTGCTGTTATGGGGCCACCTTGGGGAAGATGTCAACCTCGCCACTAGTCACCATCGTCGTGGTCTGTGAGGTGGTGGTTCGTCATGTTCGTCGTCGTCGTTCCCGTGCTCGCAGGCACAATCTCCAGTATCATAACCCCACCACAGCCACCACCGTCGCCAATGCCACCGCCATCGCCACCATCAAAATCATCCTCGCATCCAGCTGCAGCTCCAGCTGGCACCGCGGAGGCGGCGTCGGCAGCGGCAGCGGCGTCATCATCAGCAACATGATTAACAGCACGATGCCCGATCCGAGTAAGATGACTAAGCTGGAGTGCACCTTTGCCTCCATATTCTTGTCACTTCTTCTGTCGTGTCCCTAGACCTGAACTCTTGCTTTCACAGATCACTACACTGTTGTAAGGTTAGGGGCTTAGGGTTTAGGGTAAATTTATACAAAGCCCTGAACCCTGAACCGTAAGTTCTACCCGCTGGGTGGTGTCGACGGAAGGCATGGCGCAGAGAGTTTGCTCCGCCGGCCAGGCTCCGCGGGTGATTTCCCGCAAGCGCCTCGCCGTTCTATTATTGATCAGGAGTTCTTCAGAAGAAGTTCTTCAGTTCTGCTATCATATCTCCCAAAGTCCTGTTCTAATGATTGAGGACTACCCTGCATCGTAGGTTCGTCCTTGCCAGGCGGGGGGCAATAATATAATTGAGGATCCTGTACTGCTCGTCTCGAGTTGGAGCAGCTATGCCATGAATTTGAACACGTGCTAGTAGTTTCTTCTGCGGCAGCTTAAGGAGGCAGAGCGACCCGTGTTTCGAAGTGCTCGGAATGAAAAGTGCAAAATAGAAGCTCAAATTACTGCCAAAGTTCTTCGTGAGGTTCCTTATTCTTTGTAGTTTTACTGCAACGTGCCTCCAAGGCCCAAGACCCTATTCTAATGAATGGCACTTAAAGTACGTTCCCCGAGTACGAGGCTCTCAACCCTGCGACTCCAAAACTCATTGACCGGGTTGCTTTTCGGGAAAATTTAAGATACCATGAAGGGGATATATCGTATGTAACTCTAACAGGGTTTGATGATTATAGTAGCCTTAGTTACCTTAGTTTAAGTTCCTTAACAGCAATGCGGTTGAGGACCGACCTTGGCGACTCCATCATGACGGCAATCACGATCGCGACGCTTTCGGAGTTGCCTTTCAAGCTTCTTCGCCTTAGAGTTTAGGGAGCTGAGGGCTCTGAGTAGGTGGGAAGTAACAAGGGGCCAGAATTTAGAGCTCTAAATAGGTGGGATCCGTAATAGTTCTCGCAACACTTTTCCTTGCATGAACCTAACACGGGGGCCGTAGCTCTGTGAGATCGAAAGGTACCCTCGCAGTGCCTTCTGCTGGGCTGGCTGGGCTAGGCGGTAATCCCAACAAGGCATTACGTGTTGGAGTTGGGGTTTAGATTTTCAGGTATCAGGCATACAGCTTGTCTGAGGGTTGTCAATGGGGATCTTTCAGTTTGCAATGACCGCAGGACATGAGGTTTAGGCCAGGGGGTGGGTCGGAGCTTCATGATGCAGGGGCCGTGATCAAGTTGAATGGGGTTTTGGGGTATCGGTATATTGTAGTATCATGTTACGGGGACCACAAGGGAATACTATTACTAGCAAGTGCTTCGGCTTCTTTTCATTTTCTCTTTTTATGGGGGCTTCAAGCCGTACTCCGGTCGTAATATGGTCTTCAGCAAGGGCATAGCGACGCAGCACGGTGGGAATCGTTGAAAATGTTGCGGTGTGACCGCAGAGGGGGCCGGGAAAACCGAAATACACCGAGACGTTGAAGGGCTTGAGCACCTTCCCAAGTTGCAGAGGTTGTAACAAGCCTAGGCATTAAGGCAAGCTTGTGTGAAAGGCTACCGGCGATCGAACCTCACTTTACGCTCCAAGCCGTAGCAGTGAGCCTAGATCCGGCTTACTTTTCAGTGCCCTTTCCAAAACACCTAGGTCCGTTGAAGCTTTCCCATGAAAGACGGAAAGAGAGAATGTCTTGAACTTAGAGTGTAACAAGAGGGAGCCATGAAGCTTCAACCTTTGACACAATAGACGCCTCAATGACAAGTCTTGCATATCCGCGACATGATCAAGTATAGTATTGTAGGCGAAAAGCCCCCTTTCGTCTATAGTTAAGCTCTTATGAGAAAAGCATCTAGCGACAACAGCAGTACTTTTTTGCGCACAGTGCTTGTATGCCTTATCTATATACACACATAGTTTTTCAGCAGCTATTTAATGCGTGTGTGTGTGCACATTGACACGAGACTATGTATGGTGAACCATAAGAGGACGAACACATCGTGTTGACATATCTGAACGGCTGTACAACAATATGACATTTAACTAAAGACATTCAGGCGATCGCACGTGTTTGTTTTCGAGGTGGTCCCTGCAAGTTTCTTGAGCACCGTGTGGAAGTGCAGTCATGGAAGTCGAGCAAACGTGTGTGGGGGGCAGCACAGAGCACACAAAGATATTGTCGAAGCTCGTGACGGTTTCTGGAACGGGTATGTTATAAGCCCGCCATCGCTTTGTTCATTAGTGGGGGACGCATGATGACATGCACCGAAAGCTTCAGCATTTGTGTGCACGGTCTTCTGTTTAAAGACATTCAGTTCAGGGTAATGTTGTCAGAATCGTTGGCATCATGTCTGTCAGCTGTCAGGTTCGTGAAACTAGGCGTGCTGCGCAAGCAAGAGTGTGAGCGTGTACAAGCCCTGCGCGACGAGCCTTGGACCAGACTCTTAGCAGCCTGCTGCCCTGACAGTCGCCACAGAGATTTCCACCTAGCAACATCAAGTGGCACTGACGCATCCTTGTTACTGTTGTTTCCAAGTTCCCGCGTTTCTCGAACCGTTTTTGTTTCAGTCCCGAACAACAGGCTCGCATGTTCGTCTCTAATCCTCGAGAGGCCGTGTCTCTACAAAAGCTGAACACCAGGAACCCTAGCGGAATCGATCAACTGCTGATTCAGAGCAGCTCTTTAGGTCCTCTGACAGGATGCCAACTACAGATTGGGGACGCAAAAAGCTTTAGACAACCCGGAAAATTGAAGCACGTTTCGGGTTTAGGGTTTAGGGCGATCCGTGCCAAAAGTCCGGAGACTCACTGCATAGGAAATGACAGGCTCAGAATACCATGGCTCCGGCTCCCTTGATTGCCTATCTACAATGTCCAATATTGCGCAGATGCTTTCTGCATATTGGCCCACGTCTGCTGCACACGATGAAAAAGCTTCGACAAGGTACACCCTAAAGCCTAAAATCTAAACCCTAAACCCGAAAACCCTAAACCCTAAACCCAAAAACCCTAAACCCTAAACACTTTAAATAAAAAAACCAATAACCTTTGGTGCAGTCATTGCGATGTCTTCGCTCTTCGGCTCCTCTCTCTGAGGAGCTGACGAAGTGCAAGGTCGACGTGAAGGAGGCTTGGAGTGTAGTCAGGGTTTAGGGTTTAGGGCTTGGGGTTGAGGGTTGAGGGCTTAGGGTTTAGGGCTTAGGGCTTAGGGTTTAGGGTTTAGGGGCTTATTCAAATCCTTGAAGGAAGGAAATCCTTATCATGACTTCCTTGTATATGTCCTTACGCATGCAGGTGTCTTTGCTGCGAAGGTAGAGGCCTTTACTTTTGCGGCCTAGTGGATGAGACCACGTGCGCTGCATCCCTCCTCCCAGCAAAGGCTTTCGTGTTTCAGGGCTTGGGGTTTGGGCTTCAGCGCTGGGTGGGGTTCAGGATCTCTCCTCCGAGGGTTGGAGGGCGGGGGACTTTAGGACTTTAGGTTTCTCCCTGACCGACCGCCGGATGCGCTGGCAAGTTGACCCTACATCGGTTTGAGAAGATATCCTACTTTCGGCTTTGTATCAAGAGTGAGGCTTAAATTCTGGTGCTTGGGATCAGATCCAGGGTTCAGTTGGAGACCAGGTGGAAGACACCCTGGAGGTCGCGCCATGCGAGACTGCCATAGGCCAGCCGAGGGGCATTTCTAGCGCTAGGACGGTGCTCAGACTCGGTGTTCCTTTTTGCAGCTTTCTGCCGATCTCACTTGTTGGGAACCCTTGTATCCAAGCCTGCCAAAGACTGCCCCACTTCCGCAACGTTACGGCCGAACGGTTGACTCGCCGGGTTTCTGGAGCCTCTTCGGTACCACGGTGCCGGGGCCTGCGGCTCGAGTTGACTATAAGTTTTTTTTTTGAAATGCCGAGAATTCGAACCGCAGTTGTGGAAATAAATCCTGAGCCCCGAACACTAGTGAGTGGTACCTAGAAGCAACTTGTCCAAAGTGCTTCTTCTGGTTTCGCAGCCCTTCCACGCCCCATGACTTCAAGCAAGAAGCAGCGTTGATTGCAGGCTTTTTTTGAACTGAAGACTTCCCTTTATGCGTCCTCCTCCCATCAAATCTTAGTGTGGAGCTGCAAGAAGAGCTCCCCAAAGTCGAATCCCTGGTCCCTTGGAGGCGATGCCTCCATCCACACCTACCACGACACAAAGCTGCACTTGGGGTGTTGTTCTAGTCTGATTTACCGAGGCTTGACCTGTAAACCGGGGACCGGGACGCAGGCAATGACGTCTGGAAAGGCAAGAAGCAACGGTAACAGCGATAGGTAGTAGAAGTAGAAGTAGGCCGTGCAATCTCAGGCTTTCGGTGCAGGGCGACGCATGCAATCCGGGGCGCGTCTTTATGTTTTGCTCAGTATTGGCCGCCTAACATCCAGCCTCCGGTCAAAGGCTGAGGAGCAAAACAGTTTAGATGGTGCTCCCTGCTGAGTCTTCCTTAGGAATCATTTTAAAACTGTCTGAAAATTGAAAACTGAATGCCGAGGCTTCTCAGCCATATTGTTTGCAGGGTAGTCTTACTCGTGCCTCAAATCCCTCCACCCTAAACCCCGAAGCCCTCGCAAGCGCGAGACCTGATACTTGGTAGCCTCAAACCCTGAGCTCTGCAAATCCGAAGCCCGAAGACCCCTCCACTACGCAACTCTGCATCCCTGCCAAGCGTACACCCCGAACCTTGAGATGCATCATAAACCCCAAGAAGTAAACTTACTTTGGCTCTAAGCCCCTAAACCTTTAAACCCCCCAAAACCCCAAACCCTAAGAAGCCGAAAGTGAGGACCACCGCATGGCGATGTGCTTTGCCACCCTGGGACTGGCAGCTCCAGGGATCAAGATTGAACCTCGACTGCTAGAGATCAATAAACCTGGGTCCGTGTTGGCTACAACTTTGCATTTTCGTTATAATAAAAACCCAATAAGGACTAACAAATTAGCCCCCAACGGGGAACCAGCAAAGGGGCTTTAATGTTTCGAACAGGGGTTTAGAAGAGTTTGGGGAGGAGCAAGCCTCGCCATAACGGAGTGTTGGGGTTCCCAGTCTAGGGGACTGAAAGGTGTTTCAATTGATTTGCGGTTGATGGCTACCATAGTAACCCTAAACCCTAACCCTAAACCCTGAACTCCTAAACCCGAAACCCTAAGACCCTAAACCCCTAAACCCGAAGCCCTAAACCCCAAGCCCTGCACCCCTAAGCCCTAAACCCGAAGCTCGGAGTTTTCGGCTGATGCTGAAACTTTCCAGGTGTGGCGCCCCAAAAGGTGCTCCAGGGCTGGAGCTCTGAGAGTCGTCTAAAAGGGGCATGCTGCTCGTAAGAGGCCCTACTGTTGATGATATAAATCCTGCATCACCCATAATAAGGAATATAAAGGAATATACCATAATTCCCATAGTTAAGGGTCCCAAGGTAATGCAGGATTTCTATCATCAACAGTATGACGACCCGTAGCGACCGTACTAATTCCGTTCACGGAGTTCATGAGGTTGGAGCCTTTGAGTTTGGTTTCACCTAGATTGGGTAGTTTCCATCCCCATAAACTCTTGGCACTCATCCCACAACCTGGCCGCTTGACTATCGGCCTCGCCTTAATCTCTGGCAGCCTCTGGCACTTGCACTCAAACTTGGGAGTCCCAAGCATCTTTTCATCCTTCCACGGCACGCGCCTCGACGCCTTGGCCCTTAAGATCCGCAGCGGTTCCATTTCCCTGATTCCTGGTATCGGGGTTCAATGTTCTGTTGCTTCAGTGGTGTGAGAGTTTTGTAAACCAGACTTTCAGCAGGGACCGTAGTTCAGAGCAAGATCCCATAGGCTCTGTCTGCACCACAGAGACTGATCGAAAGCCGAGGAAGACCCCAGCTGCGTCCGAAAGACTGTGCCCTCCTTCTTCCAGACGCCCGATGGATTGATATGTTCGGGTTTAGGGTTCGCGATTTTAAACCCACAACAGGGATTCTCACAGGATGGGGCGTGTTCAAGTATTCATGGGCGTCCTGGAGAGCGACAATAAACCCTGGGCCCCAGACTGTATTACAGGGTCTGCAGCACGTGCACATAAAATCCCAGAAATGAAGGAAGGCGCGGCTCTTCAGCGAAAAGGTTTTGTGTTGCTTTCCATTCAACTAGAGTGCTGGGAAGCCGTGGCATCTAGAAATTTGTACGAAGCTCCGCGACAGAGTCCGTGCACACTTCGTTCTTGCCTCTAGAAGCCAAGACGTTCTGGTTGCGTGGTCTTCGGCATCGCTCGTGTATGATATTCAGGGTGAAGATGATGGTGATGATGTTGAAGCTGGTAGTGATGATGTTTGCGAACGTTGCAGTGAACCTGGAAGCTCACTGTTCCAAAAGCTGTCGCTCGTCATATACCTTTTGGTTCTACGGTTTACAGCTATGATTTCTCCTGCTGCCGCGGCAGAGACCTCGCTGCTTTGCAGCATTCTCACCATGCCAACACCGGTGCATGTTTATGCTTCTAAAGCCTAGGGCCTAAGCCACCAGACCCCAAAACCTAGCACGCCTCAACTGCTGAAGGGTGGTTCACGAGTTAGGTGCAGCCCTAGATGTCTGCGCGCGGCGACCGAAGTCTGAGACGAATCAGGGACAGTTTGCTCGAGCCGGGGGTCCTTGAGGAGTGCAGGTGGGATGTGTGATGATTGCGGCGGAGCCTCACCTTGTGTGCTTCTGCGGTGTTGAGGTTTTCACGGCGAGAGAATCTGCTGGCTGTCCGGCTAACCCTAAGCCCTAAACTCTCCTGCTAATGTGCCATCGCCAACGTTCTTTTCACGAAACGGGCTAAGCTTGACACTCCAGGGGCCCAGAGCCCCAAGCTTCGGTTTAGGGGTTTAGTTTTTAGGGTTTAGGAAAGTTTAGGGGTTTAGGGGTTTAGGGCCTTCGGGTTTAGGGTTTAGGGGTTTAGGGTTTTTTAGGGGTTTAGGGGTTTAGGGTTCAGGGGTTCAAGGTCTGCTCTAGGCCCTCATTAGAAAAGGGTTCAGGGGTTTAGGAAGAGGGTCCCTGCCCCACCGAGGATCCTCAGCGCCCCCCCACCGCGGGGCCTCGGCGTGGAGATTTGGGCCCTCCGGCCGAAGCAGTCGCAGGGGGTTTAGGGTTCAGGGTTGAGGGGGGGCTGGGTTTAAGGTTCAGGGTTGAGGGTTTAGGGTGTAAGGTTTAGGGTTGAGGGTTGAGGGTTTTAGGGTTTAAGGGTTTAGGGTTTAAGGTTTAGGGTTCTAGGGTTTAAGGGTTTAGGGTTTAAGGTTTAGGGTTTCAGGGTTGAGGGGGGCTGGGTTTGGTAGTTCGGATCCTGGCTCGGTTGAGGTTGAGGGGAGGAGGTCGCATCATGCCTTTCCGGGATTCTTATGGTTAGGGGTGCTTGAATTAAAGTTAGGGTGCCTTTATGGATGGGTCCGTGTAGTTAGGGTCCTCCTATTTAGAGCCTATGTCAGGGTCACATATTTCTGAAGCTCCCCTGTGTCAGCCATCTTTCCTGCTCGGTCAACGTGGCAGTGTAGTTTGGGACGTCGGAACTTTCATGATGGCAACGCCCGAATGAACTTATGACCCTGAATAGTGGGACCCGAAACAAAGGTATTCGACCCGTGACGCTACAGCCTCCACGGAATCGTCCGATCGTCCTGAGTCTAAAGCTTAACTGCCCTATGCGATGGCTACCATGAGATGTCTTCGCCATGTTTGCCGCAGTCCACTTCTGATTCTGTAGGCCTCCACTCATTAGGGCCATTCGGGCACGTACACCACACTTGAGTCCTGATGTGTTTTTATAGTTTGGGGTGCAAGCCCTGACCGCTGACCCTTACACCCGGACTGGGCTGCGACAAGTAGTCCGAGCACCCTCACCTTTGCCCCCCAAAGCCGCGACGCCGCAAGGAATGTGACCCGAAAACCGGAGGGCGTGTCCGGAAGCTCACTGCAAGTGAGGACCTTGAGCCGCGTAAAAAGTAGTTTCGTAGGGTTTTGCAGCCTCCAAAGCGCAGATGCTCAAAGTTTTCGAGATCGCTTACTTCGGAGGCGAATGGCTGGGATTACACTAGGCTCAAGAAGCCCCCTTGAGGTTGCTGAATCAGATAGGCTTGCAGCTTCTGGGCCAAAGCAGTTTTCCAGTTGGGGCTCTGGCTGGATGCCCTGCCCACTCTTGACGCTGCTGTGTCCGACGGCAACGAAAAAACGCAGACCCGGGGGGTTCAGACGGCTAAGGGAGCTTCAGGGCAGCCAAATGCTTTACGGCCTAGAGTCTTAGAGTCTTAGAGAGGGTTACTTAGGGAGGGTTAAGGGTTCAAAGGTGGATGCACCAGAAATAGCTCAGGATGGTCCTGTGCCCTGCACCCCGGACCCCTGGACGCCTGAACCCGACACCCTAAGACCCTAAACCCCTAAAC